ATCATCGGGGGCCCATGACTGCAGGGCCTGTCCCTGCGCCGGCTGTTTCCAACCCTTCCCTTTTCCGCTAACGCGGCGAAAAATGTAACATATGTGAGACCTGCCCCACCCTCTCGCTCGTTCTCTCTTTCTGCGGGTCCCCGTATCACGTGGTCATCAGGCAGGTACGCATCAGCTGATGCACGCGCGCGCGGGTGAACCTTATTGACTGACTGACTGACTGACTGACTACTCGTCTCCCTTGGGCGATATACTGTCGCTCGACACGAACGATAGAGCGACCATTATTCATCGCCGACTTCATCGCGTGTTGCAAACGTTTCTTTCCGGTTAATCCTTAAATTGAATGCGTTTTTTCTTTACCGAAATAAAATTGCGTAACCTTTTTTTTTGGTCTTTAAAGAATTTTCTTGTTACACTCGTACCATGATTACAGTAAGAGTCGAAAGTCGGAAATGGTAACCGGCCGGCCCGATCGAAGTGCATTAATAAAACAGGAGGCCGCATCGTTTCGCATTAAGAATGATCCGTGAAAGCGTGACTTTTGTTCGCATTACGACGAATGAGGAAGGAATGGAACGGCGGCCATTCACAAAGAAGGCTTTCGGTTCCACTTTCGAGTGATAATGTTATTTTTCAAACGTGTTTCCCCATCCTTCGGGGAATTTCGACATCGTAACTTGTGAGTAATATCATTGTATCTCGAACAGAGCTCCTCTTCTTTCTTTCCCTCTTTCTCTCTCTCCGAGATAATACTTTGTGTGCTCGGATTTCGGGTGCGCTCGATATATTCTTAATCCTTTCGATCGACCTTTGGATCGTTTCACAAATCGGCTGCATCACGATTGTCGACGTGTGTCCGTGTCTCGCCTATTTTTACGCGTCCTCTCATTCCTGAAGATGCCGGCGTCGCGAAGCGTGTCCCATGAGCGTTCTCGAGAGAGATTGGGTAATCGCGCTTCCGCGGTAATACCAGCGGTGAAATTTTCGCGATTCCTTCGAGAAGAGAAGGAGGAAAACTATGGATAACGAGCGACGACCGCACCGCCTTTACATATCGCTACCCGTTTCCTCCGCGCGATCGTTTTCCACGATGATTAATACGCGCGTGTACATACACGCGCGTCGAGATTGAAGCTATAACGTCCTGCTGGTACGTGAAGAAACGCGAGTCGAGAGAGAAAGAGAGAGAAAGGAGCGAAGAAATAACGACGGCGAACACATATTTGTGTGCGCCTCGCGTATATGTGTATGCAAGAGCGAAAGAGAGAGAGAGAGAGAGGCAGGGAGAAGTTGAAAGAGGAGCACACGCGGACCCGAGAAGAGGAACGGGCCAGCCGAGGAGAAGAGGGGAAAGGGGAGGCGAGAGAAGGTGGAGGTATGCCGCGCAGCCGTGGGAACCGACTGCCGCGCGAGCGAGTCGCGCCCCCCTCTCTCCTCTCCTCTCCTCTCCTCACCACCCTTCACCCCTCTCCTCCTCTCGTTCTATCGCGCCGGCCGCGCCTGTAGCCTCTCGCTCTATCGCATCGGCGGCCGACGCAACCTCTTTCTCCTCGTCGGTCGTCGAGGATCTCTCCTCGTCGCGATTCCTCTCGTCGTGTCTCCCGAGGAAGAGGATCGCCGGAACAAGAGCGGTTTCCCTCCTTCGTCCGTCTCGATCGTCTTTATCGTCCCGTGGATTTTTACCCCTCCTTCGTCGATAATCGCCGCTACCGGTGCACGAGTAACACGAACGCACACATGTACGGGCCAAGACGCATTGTTCCCGCGCCTTTTTTCGAGCGCGATTCCTCGCCGATTTCATTCCGATCCCCCGTAATAAATTAGCGGGCGATCACGGTGGCATTTGTCTTCCCGACGATTTATTCTCCCCCGCTCTTTTTCTCCCTTTTATCCTCCTGATTTGTTACTCCGCTATGAAAGAGAATGGTCTTTTTCTCTCCTTTTCGGAAGGTACGCGCATCCTGCGTGCCTGCGAGTCTCCGGGGCGAGCGCGTCCTTGCCGCGAGAGAAAAAGGCGGTGTATAGCTCTCGTCTCGCTTCCGTCTACGCCTACTACGCTATGTTCTACCCCTTTTGTTCGCTCACCTCGTCGTGCACGACGAGGCCCTCGGACCGGTCTCGGGCGCATTCGGTATCTCGCAAAAGGTGCAGCACAACCTGCGCCAGCGCCTCTCTCTTTTCTCCGCCCGCTTCTTTTAACAGAGACAAATTGCTCGCGCGTCCTTCAACCCTTTCGCCGCGAAGGGCATCCGCCTTATCTGTACGAGCGTTCGCGTATACCGTTGAGCTAATTTTAGATAGAAATACGCGGGTGTTATACAGGATGTTCAGGTGTAGGTGTATTACGTTTGCTCTCGCATAAAATTAATCGAGATTAAGAAATTTCAAATCGAGATATTTACTCTTTAAAAACTTGGGAAACTTGGAATTCTCTATCTATTTTCGAGAGATTCTTTTTTGTACTTTGTAAAGTTGGGAATTTTATTGAGAATTCTTTTTAATCGTCTGTAATTTCTTATAGTATATCACAAGTGATAACCGAGTTGGCAATCAGTGATATGGTCATGTAAACACATTCATGTGTAACAGTTATGTTTTTTTGTTCTTTTAGATTTATTATTCTTATCGTATTATTCAAATTGATTTTACTAAATCAAGATACAGTCGATTATAAAGATACTCACGTGTTTCGTGAAATTTATTTGAAGATATATCTTTTTGTGCAGATTTAATTAAAGAACTTTATTTTAAAAAATTGCATTCAAAAATTTTGGATAAAAATATGACTAGGGAATTTTGTACAAAATTTAATTAGACCTTTAAATTCTAATGGATATTATTTTAGTTTTAAACGAGAACATATATATTCAAATTTTAATTTAATTTTACATCTCGCACAATTATATATTTTATTTTTTATCCCCATTGTATGTATCTAGTATGCGTTGTGTATTCATTATTTTCATTGTGTGTTCCATTATTATTTTTCATTACTTTTCATTGTGTGTTTCATTATTTTGCTTTTTATGTTCCTTTTTATTCTTTAACCTTTTATTTCGTGCTCGAGAGAGAGAGATTGCATTACACGGAATGAAAGCTCGAGGGAGGGAGCGTAATGCGGTGTCTGCATAAATTTCCATGTGCGAAATGGTATTCGCGCGGGATTACCGGGGACTCGTTTACGGGAACTCGGGCGAAACGCACACATATACGGGGAAATGATGGGCGAACTCGTCCACACCGTCGCCGGATATAAACATTTATTATTCTCTGCGCGACGCCGACGACTCTAACGAGGTCGCGCTGTAATATGCCGTGAGCCGCCCAGGGCCGCTCTCCTTCCATGTGCATGTTCGTTCTATGACGTTCATAATTAAACGACGCATTATCACTACCGTACACACCGACGTGACGCATCGCGTAGGACACCTCCGTTACACAACACGCCGCAACAATGGACGCTTCGTGGCCGAAGCCACGATGTGCGGTTTGTCGGCGCGACGGGAGTATCGTTACGGGATTTACGAGTTGTCGTTTCGGGTATCTTTACCAGGATCATTTCGGGTATCTTTATCCTTCGGGGCTTGCGCAGGTTACGAAGGAGCCATGTGCGTACTCAACGGAGGAGCCCGACACTTCCTTTCTCGTTTAGGCATCCTGCACAGAGAAAAATATTCTACTGTCAAAAGAAAAGCGATTCCTCGGCTTATTTTTCTTTTTTTTAAGTAATGGTTTTTCTCAACAAAGAATATATTCTTGATGATAGTCTTAAAATATCAGTTATTCATCACAAGTGTTAGAAAATCTCATTATCTTGTACTCGAAAGAGGAATTTATTTTCTCTTCAAGAATATTGTAAAGTTGTATCAAGGAAAAGTCAAACTTACTTTACGTCAATCCTTATAGTAAGCAAACCAAATTTTTGTTTTAATTTAATATTCTTGACTAAAGTACTGCACTTACTAAAATTCAGAATATATTCAATTAAATTTAATGCTTGTGGTAAACTTATGATATATTTGCCAAAATTATGATATATTTAAAATAAATAATATTTACTTGAATGACAGTATACATTTTTCTCTGTGTGCGAAACGCATGTTGCGTGTATCAATAATATATGATACGAATTTCTATCGAGAATCATTCAAGTATGTAATTGGTTACCCGACATTTAAATTTCCACGTGCGAATAACGCTTCGCACGCGCTCGCACGTGCGTACCAAGCGCGACACGATTTACAACGGCGGTATATCACATGGTTATGGAAGTTAACCCCCATGGGGTACCGTAGACTTCCCTCCTGTTTCTGAACGATAATACACAAAAGGGAGTGATTTTTCGCGCGTGTCTGGTCCCCTTTCCTCTTGGGGTCTGCTCTTTCTTCCCCTTTTCCTCCCTTTTACCAGTGACGTGTAACCGTTTTTCCTCGATATACGATGACAACAACGACGACGACGATGATTATGTTGACGATGGTGGTGATGGGTACCGTGCATACTCGTGGTTTTTCTGCGGGTGCACGCGTGGCAGAGGCATGCGTGGCAGGTGTACACGTGACGCAGTACGTTTAATTTATTATTAAACCCTTTCACCGCGGAAATATTTCCTTCAACCGTTACCGTTACCTTTCGAAACTCGCACGCGAGTCACGGTCGAGAAAAATTCGAAAATATCGCGGCTTTTCATTCAGGATGTTGTGAGAGGAGGCGATCTTAAATTCGCGATGGAATTCTACTTGTACGATAAAACGTCGCACTATGTGATGTACATATTCTTCTGGATTTTAATTCTTCATTTATTACATAAAATTGCAAATAGAATTCCGTCCTGGATTAAAATTCCTAAAACGTATAAAATTGTAAGCTTGAATCGATTAATATCCTGTTTAAATTCGTTCCAAAATAAAACAAGGCATTGATCTTTTTTACTTCCTTTCCTACTTTATTCTTTAAATATCGAAGACTCATGGCAGCTTTTTTTTTACTGTTCACAGGGCACATTTTCGCTGATAGTGGAGGCTTATCACGACGCGGACAACAGTACCGGTGAGTAAACAATTTTTCTCTCCACTTTTTTTTTGGATCTCGTATCTCGTATCATCAAGCACGAGTGCGTGCGTGCGTTGCGTGCACGCGCTCGTAAAATACCGGAATGACGAAGGATTATCGTAAAATTAGTCGCGGTGCGCGTTTTAAAGTCGTGAGAGAAGGCAGAGGAAGGTCGCCCTCGTCGGTTGGGCATGTGTGGTCCAGCTGGTTTGCTGAGAGAGCGACACGGTGTCTCGTGGACCAGTCAAGAAGGCGCTTCCGGTCCCCCGAGCATGACACTCACCAGAGACGTTGCATCCTCTCTGGGCATTCTCTCTTCCTCCTCCTTCTTCGTCAACTACCTCTTGATCCTTATCCCCTTTAAAGTCTCCCCCCGAGACGAGAATCGAAGAGAGACAGCGAATAAATTTCTCTCTTCTTTTCGCGTTCAATGGCCCTCGATCTCGAAATAATTATATTTATTTTGAATTATTTCAATATTTTTTTATATATTATAATTTTTTTTATATTTTTTATTTTTTATATTTTTATATATATTTTTCTTTACATTTTATTTTTTCCTAGTATTATTGCATTATATTTCCTGGTATTATATAAATAATGTACTCAAGAAGTATGTATATATGAAAGGGATATAAAAATAAGAATAGTTTGGAAGATTTGCGAGTGCATTATCGGGGATTGCATCGCGATATATCAAGGATTCTTTTCTCGTGCTTGCCAAGTTTACGGTGTTACTTGGGATACTTGACGTGTCGTAAGTAAAACGTGGATCGGGGTGTATAAATCTTACGTCGACCGGGTCGGCTGGTCGTTGCTCCGCGAACAATCGTCGCGTTTTCATTGTTCTATTCAGTCTCCATTGCCGTTGGCCGTTCCTCGTTTGTAACCGCGTTATTACGGCAACGCGTCTCCGTTGTGTCATAGCGTTGTGCTGTCGACCAGAAGCGGTTCTAGAACGCGCGCTATAGAGACAGAGAGAGGAAAGCGAGAGCAAGGAGAGACGAGAGAGACGCGGTTAGCGAGCGGGCGGCACACTAGTGTTTCCTTCCTGTGTAACCATAGTACACCCATCTTCCATCGCACTGTAGTAACTCGACACCAAGTATATACGGGCTCATCCAACGAGGCTAGCTTAAACCCACCGCCAATTGTATTGTTGGTATCCCGGATATTTTTTCGGCGAGAAAGAACAGCAGATAGAGCTCGTTACAATCTCTGTCTTTAAAAAAAAAAATGTTTGAACACTTAAAAGGAGGCGGGAAAATTGCGGCGATCGGAATTCAACTGGCAATCTTCATTCGTCCCGATATTCCAAACGGAATAACGTCACGTTTTAACAACGTCGGAGGCGGATACGATGCGTAATAAATGCGCGTTACGGTTTTCCGTAAACGCAGGTAGCGCACGCATCCGCCTCGCGTTGTTCACTCTCGAGACCGGCTTTAAAAACGGGGTAAGAAGAGCGAGACCGTTTAATTCCTTCCTCGAGGAGTCCCGCCGCGGGCACGGCTCGTCCCCCTCCTCCCTTCTCCTTCGGATAATTAGAATCGGCCGACGGGAGAGAGCGGAAGCTGCATATACGCGCGCTCTCATGCGTGTCGCGCGCGTACACACGCACACACGCGTGCGCGTCGCGTCACCTATGCCGTCGCCGTCGAGAATCTCCTCGTCCAATTAACCGAATTTAACTGTTTCGGCGCCACGTGGTGAGTACTTTGTTCGATCCCGCGTCGCGTCGTTATCCGTCCACTCGACGACGAAGCAAGGATTTCGATTTCGATGAGGGTACGAGGACTCTGCTGGGTCGGAAAAGCTCGAGGGGAATTTTGGGCGTTTATTTATGTCGTTAAACTCTCGCGTTGCGAGAACCAGTGTATCGATACGTCGAACGCGTTGTTTTTATTCCGGTATATGTAATTAATATTTAGATAATTTAATATGTCATCTGTCTGTCAAGATGATGATACGTCAAGATGTGTAGCTTATTATTATCGAGGAGGCAAGAACTATCTCTTTCGCGCACGGTTCTTTGTACGCTTGCGCTTTTTTTACACAGCAGATACGTTTTATCCCTTGCATTAGAGGGATAAGAAAACGATAAGTTTTCGCCGTCTGATGTTTCTCGGTGTTAACGCTCGCGTTACAACCGGGGCGAGTGTTGTCTTGCGCGGCCTCTGGATTTTATCGTCGACACGCCGCTTATATGTTGCAGCTCTCGGCATCTGCGATTCTTTTCCCAGCGTGCGGATGTTGATATGAAATCATCATTGACGTATCGAAATCTGTCAGCTTCCTAAATCTGTTTCGTTCCGAGCGGAAAGAAGGAATTTATTTATATTAATTGATAAAAATCGTTTCTTTGGAATTCGCTTAAAAAATTAAAAAAAATAATTATTATTATTGTAAATAGATTTTTAGGTCGAAAACCAAAATGAATAATACAAAATGAAACTTCAATCTCAATTATTTCACGTTTATCAGATTTTATCTAACAAATTTTTTAGATATCAATTTAATTTATGTAGGAATCGAGCTGTCGCTTGGCATCTTAAATAGAAGGAAACGAACAGTTCTTAACTTAAAGGTACAAAAGACAAGTTTTCGACAGAGTTATAAATTACATGGTTGAAAATTTAGAACTGAAAATGCGTGAGAGAAGAATGTCAGGAAGATATTACAATTTATTTACATTAATTGTTAAAAATCGTTTTTTTGAAATTTGCTTATAAAATTAAAAAAAAAGTAATTATTATTGTAAATCGATTTTCGAAAACCAAAATGAATAATAACAAATTGAAATTTCAATCTTAATTATTTCACGTTTGTTAGATTTTATTTAACAAATTTGTTAGATATCAATTTAATTTATGTAGGAATCGAGCTGTCGCTTGGCATCTTAAATAGATAGGAAATGAACAGTTCTTAACTTAAAGGTACAAAAGACAAGTTTTCGACAAGTTATAAATTAGATGGTTGAAAATTTAGAATTGAAAGTGGGAAAAGAATGTCGGGAAGATACTACAATTTATTTACATTAATTGCTAAAAATCGTTTCTTTGGAATTCGCTTAAAAATAAAAAAAAAATTATTGTAAATAGATTTTTAGGTCGAAAATCAAAATGAATAATACAAAATGAAACTTCAACCTTAATTATTTCACGTTTGTTAGATATCGATTTAATTTATGTAGGAATCGAGCTGTCGCTTGGCATCTTAAATAGATAGGAAACGAACAGTTCTTAACTTAAAGGTACAAAAGATAAGTTTTCGACAGAGTTATAAATTAGAAAATGGTTGAAAATTTAGAATTGAAAGTGCGTGGGAGAAGAATGCCGGGAAGATACTAGACGTTGACACGTCGAGATTAATTTAGACCGAAAATGAAACGTTAATGTATGTCCACGCACTATATCATGTCCCGGATACACACCTATCCCCGGGACCCTTATCGCGGATACAGCACTTACATTGTGCGCTCCGTCTACCGTGCTGGCTCCGGGCGCGATATAATACCCACACAACGCACACGATGGCGAAACGAGCCCTTTATTGCCGCGTTGCTCGGATGCTGCTTCCTTTCTCAGGCGAACACCATCACCTCCTCTTCCTTCTCTCCTCTTCTAATCACCGCCCCCGCTCCCGACGTTCTCTCGCCTCCTTCCCTTTCGGGCGCGTCCCTCTTCCTCTTCTCTTAGCCCTCCATAAACTCCGTCGCGTCGCGTTGCGTTACGTTGCGTATTATGACGCACGCCGGTGCACGCGTCATCGTTGCACCTGCGCTCGCGATTCCTGCAGTTGCACTCGCTCTTTGGGGCGAAAATTTCGTGAGAATCCGCTTTCGCGTCGTCCGACATTCCTCAAGGATGCACAGGGAAAAATATTCTACTGTCAAGGAAAGCGATTACGTTTATTTTTCTTTTTTTTTAGTAATAGTTTTTTTTACTTCTTTTTAGTAATAGTTTAATTACTTTTTAAATAATAGTTTTTTCAACAAAGAATATATTCTTGATAATAGTCTTAAAATATGCTCATCACAAAGAATTTATTTTCTCTTCAAGAATATTTTAAAGTTATATCAAAGAAAAATCAAACTTTATGTATTAAGGAAACCAAATTTTTGTTTTAATTTAATATTCTGGACTAAAATACTGCACTTACTAAAATTCAGAATATATTCAATTAAATTTAATGCTTGTGGTGAACTTGTGATATATTTGCGGATATACAAACTTATGATATACTTAAAATAAATAATATTTGAATACAGTATACATTTTTCTCTGTGTGGATCCCAATCGTAGATCGAGAGATGGCTTTCCATTTAAGAGATATTTCTCTCGCACGTCTCATATTTTTAATATCGATGATCCATATTGTATCGCCAAGTAATTTCGAAGCGATCTATTTCTTGGCGCGATATGCACGCGCGAAATCGTTTCGACTAAAAATACGGGGGACTTTAAATAAATATCGAACGGTTTTAAAGAATGTTTCCCTCCATCTTTTTTATCCCCCGGTCTAATTTTATTCCAGAACGATGCGACGATATTTATAAATCACGGCGGAGGAAGGTGTCGCGCCCTAACGATTACACGTGTCGATAAAGGCGGCTCATCGATCGATTCGTCACGCGTGTCGTGGTGTTTATTATACGCGAACCAGTTTCCTTTGTCGCTAATGACGATGGGCTGTGCGCTCGGTTGTTGCTCGTTTTGGTAAAGGCCGATCGGATTACTACTCTTCCTTTCTTTCATTCATCTGCCATAGGAGGAGCAGGAGGAGGATGAAGGAGGGGGGAATCTGTCTGTCTCTCTCTCTCTCTTTCTTTCTCGTTGGTCTCGTTCGTTCATTCGCGGTGAAATCAACAAGCGTTTATTACGAGGTGTGTACGCCTTGTGTGGGATACGTATAAAAGCGCGTGGTATATTAAATTCAAGATCTCGATATCCAGCCGAGGTACTGTTAAACGCCTCATTTTAACACGCGCGTGTTGG